TTTAGAAATAAAACAGAACGAGTACTTACTCCTAAATAAATTCATCAATAAATTCTCTAATTTCAGAAAAATGAGACTTCTCTAGCATTTTGAAATCCAAGAAACAAACTCAAATGCATTCCTGTTATTATGTTGTATTAAGCATTAAAAAAAATTATAGAACTTCGAATTTAAATTCATAAAAAAGGACTCAGTATTCACTCGAGAAGTTTAAACGCAGCAAATATTAACCTAATAGAGTTTATGAAAGACAATAATTTAAAGCCAGAGAGGAAAGAAATGTTCGAAGGTTGAGGCCTAATATGTATATTTCTCTAAGGTCATTCTTTCTAAGTTGGGACAGCGAAATTTAACAGTTTATACAGTCCTAATATGTATAGGAAATGTAGATTATGCTATAATGAGGCCGAATTAAACCGAAGCAATTCTTGACTCTGTTTCGGTTCCATTTTGATCCTCGGCTTCACCTGAAAGTTCTTCCAGTGATTTTCCTTTGGGTTCAGGCACCAAGAATGTGAACAACAATCCGAGGATGTTGACCACACCAAGCATTATAAGTGTCTTCTTCACTCCAATGTAATCTGCAGCATATAAAAAGCCAAATGCACCAACAATAGCTCCAGCCTTGCCTGATGCAGCTGATATTCCATGGCATGTTGATCTCAGCCTTGCTGGGAAAATCTCGGCAGGGACTACAAAGGTGGTGGCATTTGGACCAAAATTTGAGAAGAAAAAAGTGAGGGAGTACATAACAACAAAGCCAATTCTGTTGTCTGGTAGAGTCCAGTGATGATAAGGGATGGCAGAGGCAAATATGAAGACAGTCATGAAGAAAAATCCCATCAGTTGAATTGTGAACCTTCCCAGCTTATCGATCAATGCCACAGTGAACCAGTACCCGGGAACGGTGCTGCATAGTGCAATGAGGGTTTGTGCTCTAGCAATTCTGTAAAGCTCTTCAAGGGCATTCATGGTTTTTGCATTTGGAATCCAACCAATTGCAGTGAAAATGTCCTTCTGAAACAGGTTCTGGCTGTAGAAGGCAATATCCAAGAAAAACCATGTAGTGGTGGTGCCGAGCAAGTGAAGTCCATGGCGGCGAAGAAATTGTGGAGAGAACAACCCATAATCAGCTCCTTTTTTCTGTTCAACTTTCTCCTGTTCTGCTTCTAGATCAACCTGAAGAACTTTTGACATATCAGCTGCAGCCTGTTTTGCATTCTTGGCAACCAAGGCAGTGTAACGTGCAGTTTCTGGCATCTTCATTCGCCAGTAAAACGTCAGTAAAGCTGGGATTGCACCGAACATTAAAATTATTCTCCAAACATAATCAGCTTCGGGCACAGTTGATCCAACAGCATCCATCTCATATGTTGGTGCAGGGTATCTAGCCTTGAAAGCAGCAGAAACTATAATTGCAACTATCCCTCCGGACAAAATCCCAAAACCTTGCATAGCAAACACGGCAGCAATAAAAGCTCCACGAGTCTTTTTATTAGTATATTCAGACATGATTGTAGCAGAAAGAGGGTAGTCACCACCAATGCCAAAACCAAGCCAGAACCGGAAGAAGCAGAGTGTTGCCATAACAGCTTTAGCGTCTTTCCC